ACTTGAGCAGTGTCTTCAGAATAATGCATTTTAATGTGGAAATGTTAAGCTAGCTACTTCAAACAGATTCTCTATACAGTAATCAGTGCTCTTTTTGCTCTTATATGGTAATACTGAGACAATGATACTCAAAATACTGGGGGGGGGAATCAATCTGCCATCTGAATTTTAATTTTTAAATTTGTGCTCACTGTAGTGAAATACTACTGCTCAATGAGTAGAAATAATTATTATTCTACTACTAATTATTATTATTTTAATAATAATTTTTAAAATTGACCTTTTGGAAATTCCTGTGTTATTTTTGCAGAGATCTCACTATATAATGCCAAGTAATGCATGATAAAATGATGTCAGGGGTTTTTGTAACATGGTTTTACATCCTATTGCATAGCTTTAAAGAATGCTACCAGTTACTAAAATGATAATCTACATTGCTTACACAAGTACAAGTACTGTGGGTTTTTTTGGGGGGGTATATGGGGGAGTGGGAATTACAGGGTTTTTTTATGATGCTCTGTTTTCTTCCTTGCCTCAGTAATTAATTTATGTGTTATCAGGAAAAAGTGTTCTTTGTTGTTTTGGTTTTTTAAGTAGAAAAACGTTTCAGGTATTTCCAAAATAATATAAATGAATCTTTCTTTTTAGCCTCTTCTGAAGCAATCGCCCTGGAGCAATCAGAGTAGCGGCTGGAGCACAGGAAATATATCCTGGGGAGGAATGCATGGCAGAGACCATCGTAGAACTGGAAATATGGGAATTCCAGGAACTATGAACCAGATCTCTCCTTTGAAGAAACCCTTTTCTGGTAATGTCATAGCTCCTCCTAAATTTACTCGCTCTACTCCATCACTGACGCCAAAATCGTGGATTGAAGATAATGTTTTCCGAACTGACAACAACAGTAATACTCTTCTTCCTTTGCAGGTGAGGATGGTATGTAACTGGTGTGTTCATAGTCTTGCATAACATTTTGGCTTCATTCATTTTAAAGGAGAATTAAACAGTGATTGCAGCCCTGATACTTGGTTTGAAAATTGTGTATTTCTATTGTTATTTTTACTCCTAAATGCAGCTAACCCCAATGTTTTCAGTGTATTCAGCAATATATGATTCTCACAGTTAATTAAGACTATTAACTGTCAACTGAAAGATAGAAATTGATGCAGCAGTAGAGCAAAATTGAGCAAAATATGTTTAATCCAGTAAGTATTTTCTGCCTCTGGTAACGCTTGTACTCCTATAAATCCCTTTGAAACTTGGGATTTTTTTGTTCGTTTGTCCTTGTACGTAGGTTTTCTTACTTTTGTAGATGGCTCTGAGTCTTTGTCGTGTTCATCTTTTAATGGTATTCTAGGCTGTCATTTGCATGTTAGTGAGATTTTTTTCCTCCACATTCTAGCAACTTTTATGTTATGTTTTGGCTGGAAGCCCTGTGATTTAGAAGTGTTAAACAGGAGGATGTGTCTTTAGAACTAAAGATCTGGGTTCACCTCCTGAATTTTGCCAGTGACATCTTACGTGACTTTAGGTAAGTCACTTAACTCCAGCCTCAGTTACTTGGTGGTAAAATGTTATTTTTCCCATTCCTGCCTATATTCATTTAGTTATAACATTTCATGTTAGCGGAGACCTTTATTATTTTGGATCCCAATTTCAGTTGCCATTCTAATAATTTACAGTTTTTGCATGTGATTTTTTGTTACAAAAAAAGCTTGGGCACCTTACTTTAGAAATGATGCATTTTAAAATAGAAAGCAGATTATTCCATTAATTCTGCACATTCTTTAATTTTTGTTATGCCTGTGTCAGTTTTGGTTTTTGTCTTACACTGAGCTACTATATTCAAGCAAAAGTAATACGCAGAGAAAATAATTAGAATGTTTCTTTATCTCTGCATAAGGCTATTATGGTTGCTTTTTGTTAGGTTTCACACAGAGTAACTTAGAGTTGGTTATATTTATGGTCGTAATTGTGACTATATTTGAGTTTGTGCAGCTGTATTCACATCAATTAGCAAGCTAATCCTTATGTAGCTGTGATAGTGGCAAAAGGGTGCTCCCTGGGAACAGATTTCCCACCAGAGTTCCTATTTTTTCTTACCATTTTGCTGGTGGAATTCCATTTGGCACAAGAGGCCATGTACCACCGACTCTATCCAGGTGAGCTCTGGTACTTGCAGTATTCTTGAGGCTAATAGTGACTTTTGGACATACCAAAATTCTGCTCCAAGTATATACATTGGATCTGAAAACTTAAGATTTGCCTATACTGTGAAGACCTGTTCGATGAAGTATCTTGCTAGCTAGAATATCATAGTTGAATAATTTTTGTAGGGGTGGAAAGATGGGAGAAAAGGTGCCATTCTTTATGTATTCAACCTGATCTGTTAAGGCAAACAGATTACAGATAGGTAATTCTTTGCGGTAGAGGGCTCCAAGAATAGTTGAAAGTAAACAGTTAAATGTTTCCTGAAGATGTTAGCCTGAGGAACAGGGTTAAAAATATTAATGCCGTCATACGTTGAAACTGCAATGACGTATACATGGGAATTCATACGCAGCTAAGCACAAGTTGTGAATATATTTACTCATTCAATATGCCTTGCAAGTCAGTATGACTATTACTTTGAACTTCCAGAAGCTTCACCAGTGGTCATCGAATATAGATGAACTCATTTTATATCTAAACAAAAGTCTTCTGCATTCAAACTATAATCTAAATAATTTCTATCTAGTAACATAGAAAAAAAAATCTTGCAATTTAATTTTATAATAAATTACATTAATGTTTCCATTTAGGGGTTGGGTTGTTTTGGTTTTGTTTGGGTTTTGTTTTTTTTTTTTTTAAGAGAGAGTGTCGAAGTGAAAAGGTGGGCATACTTAATTGTTGTTCATCTTACCTGTGAGCACTAGCACCACCAATTAAATAGACCTGTTTGGCTATATTTATGCTCTAGATCTCTCTGTACTTAAATCTCCCTTACATTTGTAAAGTCATAGTTGCAGAACACAGTAAAAAGAATCCTCTTTGAAGGGTTGCAGTATTGCCTTCTACTATTGTGGAAACACTAGATGTTTCCATAAATTACTTCGCTACACTGAAATCGTGTTCTTATTTTTCAGTTATTATACTATTGTTATATGGTTAATTCCTTGTGATGACTGTTAACATTTTGCAAGTCATAATGAAAAAGTTAAATAGAGCTTGGAACTCGTGCTTCTTTTCATCAGGACTTGGCAATTGCGATGCTGTCAAACACCCATCTTGCTAATTTGTACTCTGCTTGTCTCATTCCATAAAAGGCTGAGGTATTTAGATTGAGGATTCTTAAAGATACAGTAGCAATTTCAGAAGACACTCAAAAATAGCAGTAATTAAATTTTGTGCCATTTGGAAAGTCTTGCATAAAAGCATTTATATGTACGTAGAAGTTACCTATTTCTTCCAGGCTTCCACAGAGCAAACACATCTTAGCAGGCATGTTGAATATGTACTGTATCATTCACAGTTTTGCTGAACACTTTCCTGCATGATCATGCATCTTTGTTTTAACTGCAGTAATCGTTTTGTATGGCAGGGGACAAAGCACCTCTCCTCCAAACTTTAGCTATCTCAAGCTTAGCAGAGGAAAACAGCTTAGAAAAGCCAGTGTCCTCACTGACTAACTTTCTGTAGATCATTAATGTTCTGCTACCATTTTTTTTAAAATGCATATTTTTTGCGGAGTTCGAATGCCATTCAGCAGTGTCAGCTGCTCATCCAGTTTCTGTAAAACGTGTACCTGATGCAAACAAGATAAGCCACAGCGCAATCGTATACAAATTCAAAGTTTTCCTTTCCATGAAACTACTTTATTCTCTGGTGTTTGCATTGATGGATGATCCCCAGTATAGAACTGACAGCAATTCTGATGGAACTAATGTTTCTTGGCATTAAACTAATATACCAGTGACAATGAATGTCATTCCTGATAACTTAATAAGTAATTATGTGTATTACTTAAAGGGATGAAAGCAGATTTTCTCTACTTAATAGTTAAAACTGAAGCATATCCCATGTGAAGTTGAATTCACAGTGGCCACATTAGTTACAGCAAAGCTGCTTTTGCTTACAGCAGTTATGAAGGACATCTCTCAGGGGAATTTTCCAAAGTTCAAGAGTTTCTGTTTTGTTTTTAAAAGTAGTTAAACATCATGGCAACACTGATTTAAACGTGAGCAAATTAAGCTAATAACCAAGTTTTTCTTACAGTAAGTCACATAAGAAGCTTTTTTTCTCCCTCAGGTTTTTAAGATAGCACAAACTACATAAATTACGGTTCTTTCATAGCCAAAATTTTATGCCTACAAGTTTAAGTTCTGCCACACTGCTTGCACCATTATAGATACTTCATATAGGGAAGGGATTGTTGCCTTGTACTGGAATCATTAAGGAACAATTAGGAATCGTGTCAGGTATTCACACTATCTAACTTAAGCATTTAATTGAGGAGCCTATTTCTCTCTCCTTAGAGAGAATCTAGGCTCCTTATTTAGATAATCTAATTCTCTAGAACATACCTGGCACTGCTGACCTGATGCAGCCCCTGGGATTCCAGTTTAGGCACTTAATGTTGCATGTCAAGAAGTTAGACAATATGAATATTCTCTGTTATTCCCTAACCTAAAGTACAAAAAAAATTTATACAGGGTGCAAAGCTAAAAATATATTTCTAACCCTGGATACTGGCGAGTTTTTTCCCCAAAAAACATGCTTCAGGCATTTCTGTGGCCAAAACGCAAGCACAGAGCTCAGTGTTTTGTATATTCATTTTTTTCATTTACCTTACTTGGATGAGGAAAATAATTAACCATTTCTAAAATTTTTTTTAAAAACTAAAGTGTCTGCTAACCTTATTTTGATTGCAAGCTTAATGTTTCTTAATATTGTGCAAATAAGCTTACTAAAATGTATTATAGCAGTTTAATAATATACTTCAGTGTTTAACTATTTTCATTCTAGTAAAAACACTGCATTCTATGAATATGAATTTAGTTTCTGTGTCTGAGTCAAGGAAATACACTGTATGCCCGGGTGTTTTTCACCTTGATTTGTCCTTCCTGTTTGTTCAAACAAACTATGTAGTCCTAAAAGCTGAGCTTTATTATTCTGCGTTTGAATATAGGTCTCCAGCTGGGGGTTTGTATGGAAAGGTACTGTCTCTCACAAATGCAGTTTTTTCTTTTTCTATTTTTGTAATGTGCTAAAGTTTTCAAAGGAAACAAAACCCTTGCAAAGCAAAATGAGTTTTAAGATTGTATGTCAAACAGGTGTTTTAGATAGTTAACTTAAACTGCTGTCATATTGCTTCTGTCTTACAATCACTTCCATTCAGAGGATTTCAGATGCTCAATAAGACAGTTTTAGTACAGTTTAATAAATGTACCTTAACAGTTTAAAGGGCTAATCTAGATGATACATATCCCAGTCAATACTAGATGAAGAGCAAGTTGCTGAAGTTGGGTTCTTAATGCCATATTTAGACTCCTAAATAGGTGTCCTGTTTCTTCAGAAGTGCTGAGTGTTTGGCAGCTCATGTTAAACTGGAAGACATTGATAGTATCTGCTAAGTTCTCTTAGTCTTCAGACTAGTTTAATTGTCCAAACACTGATTTATAAGCCAGGCTTTACCAGTTTATTTTTACTAAGGCAATACCTGCAATAGAACAGTGTCTTCAGGATTTTTAATGCAGTAGATTGATTACCTGGGGCTGATTAAATAACATAGAAGAACAGGTATTTGTGTCTGAGGACCATACTGGGGATATCTCTAACTGGAGAAAATGGTCTGGTCTACTGCCATACTTTTAACTTCAGGATCAAGGCCTTTGAATGAGTAGTATTGGGAGCTGCATAGATGAATGATTCAGAGGAATCAATTAGAA